GAGTAGAAGAACACCGGAGCACCGGCATGAAGGTCCCGATCGTGAAAAATCTGGTGAATCTGAATGTCGGCGTCCAGAAGCACATTGGTGATCTGAATACTCTGAGCACCGAGGGTGAAGCGACTTGGTGAATGCTTACAGCCCCCACGGTGTATCTCGCAATCCGATCCTGCTGGGGGTTTCGGTGAACACCAGCTGCCTCTGGGGTAACGAAGCAACTTTGCCAATGAAATGCAGTATGAAGACAGATCGCCGAAGCGACAGTTCCCACGCTGTGGGCTCGGCGTGGCTTGAGCGTTCACCTAGCTATATCGCCAGGGTGCGACAGGTCCGGACGAGCGGATTCCCCGAGGTGATCAGTTGAACACCAAGGACAGATCAGGGCCAGTAGGGTGGAAAGATTCACCTTGCGTTCCGACATCGCCCACTCGGGCGCAAGGCGTTGCAAGATCACCAAGTCTGACCACCAACCGCTCCCATCGGGACCGGCGTTACATTCGCCAGGTCCCCCAACTGTCGGCGTTCGTGGTAGAGGAGTGACTTGCGCCGCGGGCCACCGTGGGCGCGTACCGTGTGGTCAGACAGATCGCCAAGGAGCTTCTGACCAGGTCTCAAGCTGTCACGCGCGCAACTCACCCATCTGGCCTCACGACAACGTTTCGGTAAATTTCACGGGCTCTTGGTTGAGCGGTTGCGATATCACGCAACCCCGACGGGTTCGATTCCCGACTCCCGCGTGTTGTCTTCTGCTCGCTTTTTCTTCGACTCAACCCAAGCAAGGTCGAGCCAACTCGGTTACTGCATGTGAGAACCAATATTCTTTTTGTTCAACAGCGATCGTCGCGTCACTCATATCACGGGAGCCGCGGGTCTCAGTGCTTGGATCCCCATTGATGACGATGACGGTCGCCGCGCACGAGTCGGGGGATGCCTCAGGATTTGGTCTATGCACCCCAATTGGGCCGGATTTGTAGCGAGTTCTTGGTTGAATGGTTGTCATCACCGAGAGTTGACGGCTTTCTTGGGTTCGATTCCCAAGACTTGCATGGGTTTGAGCACGGTACTTTTTCCCCCATTACAGTAATTGCACATCCCCCAGAGAATTCGCTCCCTCCCCGATACGAGAGAATAAACAACCTCTGCGGCCTGAGATAAATCCTTAATTGGCCTCTGGGTGATTTGTCCCGGGCACGCTTGATTTGCGACGCTCCATTCCTCCGGTGCTCAACTCAACATCACCCAAGTGCGCCGCCGGCTTGAATCTTGGTGATTTGCAGCCGCTCTCTATCGAGCATCTAAGGAGTATCTTGAATTGCTTGTCACTTCGGAAACCCCAAGTCCATCTCTTGAGATCTCGGTGCTTGAACAGACGACCATCGCGTACGCCGGCGACCACAGGCTCTGGTGAATGCAGGGCCACATCCGATTGGCTCCGCTTGTAGTACGTACACTGGTGATTTGCTAACGACGAAACATTGCGGAACAAACGCCTACTCGTACATATAGTCTTGGGAGGGGGGAGAACGGCAGTTGAGCTCCAGCGC